CATGGTTTTTCATCTCAAGACCTACAAAAGCTACAGGGCTGAAACTTTGGGAACTTAACCTACATGCAAGTACGGGCCCCAATCCCCAAAATGGACCCTTTACCCGCCACGCGGGTACCACGCGGGCCCGTGAAATTTTTTGCGGGTAAGTCGCCAACTCGCGAACCAGAAACGCTAGAAAGCTGAAATTTTAAGGGGATGTTCCCCGTCCACGTAAGTCTCAATGAGTTCGAACCCAGCCCTCGGTCAAAGGGGTTGAAACTTTGTAGAGCTATTCCCTGTGCATGTCCTCGCTAAAGATTTCAAATTCAGCCCCCAGGTGTGCGTGGTACCGTAAGGGTGCATGAAAGTTTTAGAGGGAAAACTGCTAACTCGGGTACCAGGAAAGCCAGAAAGCGTGGTTTCACGCATAAGCCCGCCAAAGTTTTTTTCGGGTAAGTTGCTAACTCGAGGATCTGGAAAGCTAGACGACTGTAATTTTAAGAGGATATTCCCCGTCCACCTAAAAATCATTGAGCTCAAACCCAGGCTCTGAGTATGCGTGGTAGTCACGCACGGGCTCGCCAAAGTTTCTTTCGGGTAAGTTGCTAACTCAAGAACCTGAGAAGCTAGGAGACTGGAGTTTTGAAGAAATGTTTTCTGACAGTCCTGGCGGCCAGTCTGAAATTCTTTTAGCTAGAAGCATCTGCCGGAAAAAACAGTGCCGTTAGTGACAAAAATCTGCAGGGAGCTATGTAAAAAACGCGTCTTCGCACGGGCAGCCCGTGCGTTGGCCAATTATTAATAATTGGGCATGTAGACATAAAATGAGCTTTGGCACGGACCCTGTGCCGCGAGTTTAAATTTCGCGCAAAGCAATTACGCCACAGACATGCTTGGGAGATGAAACTTTACGTGGATATTCTATGCTTATGTGCGACTGCCAGTGTTACAATTTGAGCTTTACTAGGTTTTGCGTGTGACCTCAGTGAATGTTTAGTTCTAGACAGTACTGACATCCAAATAACTCGGCAACCAGGACAAGCATGAAGCAGTATTTTTTCTGAGCATGTTTGTTGTTCTTGTGTGGGCCAGCAAGCGTAAGATAAACTTCTGCCTAGGCACTGGCCCTGCGTACAAGCGAATCAAATGAACAAATTGCAATAACGCAGCTAAACCCCAGCAGTACAGACGATATCTCTACAGAATGGAATCACGCAAAAACGCAAGATCGCAATGGCAAGCTTGATGTATTTTAATCTCGGTTTTCATTAGGTGCATGCGATTTTGGCATAAAGCAAAAATGTGAAGCTGTAGGGAGACTCGAGCAACCGTACGTATAAAAGCGTTAAAATTTATCCGTGTAAGCAAGAAAAATAAGTAGCAGTGTGCACCAGAATAGCCGATGCGATCATGCCTTTTGTGCAATTCCGTTCACCGAACGTTTGCCTGTTAATGATTTTCACTGCTTTGTTTTTTAGTCTGTGCAAAAACAGTTGAAACAAAAACAGTTAAAAATTTCACGCATTGGCACGTGAAAGCTGAATTTGAAACCTCAAAGGGTGAATATCCTTCCAAAATTTCAATCGCCTAATTTTCTGGTTTTGGAATTTTCTTTCAAACAGAACTTTCACGTAGTCGAACGTGAGAACTCGGCATACTTAAGTACTGAATTCGAGTTTGAGAAGCCCCTGCTTTGGCAGGAAACATTCTCCTGAAACTTTCAGCCTCCTAACTCTTCTGGCTCCCGAGATAATGATTTTTCTTGCCAAAACCTGTACAGGAACATTGAAAATTTGCGGATGTGTACGTAGGCAGGGGATGCTACGCCAAAATTTCAGCTTTATGGCTTTTGCAGTTCATGGGATAATAACTTCCCTGCCAAAACATTTACGAGACCGTACGTGCTACACAGGAGTGTGTGAAGGCTGAATCCAAATTTGCGGGGGTCATACGTTAATAGGGGAGATCGCCCAAAAATTTCAGATTCTCAACTTTCGTGGTTCCCGAAAAAATAGTTTTCCTGTCGAAATTTTCACTGGGCCGTAAGTGATACCTGGACGCGCGAGAAGACTGAATTTGAATTTGCAA